ACCTTACAGTATAAAGCGCCTTGAGGCGACTGTCGTTGTGATTTGGCGCTGTATCAATAAAACTACTCAAAATGTTTTTATTGAGTGATTTTGGATACAGTTTATGAAGAAAAAAAGAGGGAAACACAAAAACTTGTTACACTAAATACAAAACAGAACTTCTCATGTTGGAACAAAAAAAAAAAGGAAAACAAACAAAAAATAACAACCCGGGATGGGCGATCGATACTAACAAAGCCTTTCCTTACAAACCACACAGAAGTTAGCTCAGTACCACTGAGCTTCACATTCCCATTAACACAGACACATATCGGACCTGCTGCTGACACGTTGGTGCAGATACCACAGCACACCTGCAGGGGTCGAGCGGAGGCCACGCCTCGAAGGGTCAGGGGGGCCGACGCAGTATTAGGTCAAAATGTTATGACCTAACAGTTGGTGTAAAATACTTCTTGAAGTTAATTCATTGGACGCTAAAAGCCCTTCAAGTCTTCTAATTAAGAAATAGCGCTGAATGTGACGATTGAAAGAACTAAATCTGCGATTGTGACATTGCAGAATAGAGAAAGGTGTTTCCAGCCATTAGCAGTCTTGACCAAGTGGTCTTTAAAAGTGGTTTAAGAGTGCTAGATTTACGCAGTGGTTAGTGATACTGGCTCATGGCAGGAAGTTCCTGGGTTTGAATGCTCTTGCCAGTTGCGTCCTTTCTGTGTGGGCATTGCCTGCTCTATGAGAGAGCGTTTGAACCACACATCACTTCTCAGCACATTTATTCCAGAAGCTGTGCCAAGCCCCCTTTATGACTAACAGTGGAGCCAGGAGCAGACCAGGTTAGACCCAGATGATGACAGATGTTCTCTTCATTGATGACGTCCATTTTCATGTCCGTGTAGGATCATTTTGACCACCTGGGCTTTTCTGTGTATTCATTGGTCACTGCTGTCGTAAAAGAAAAGCATTCATAGTTTGCCGTGAGTCATTTTCAGTCCTGCATTCTGAACGCTTCATTATTGCTTTTTAAAAATATGCAGCTTGTTTTTGAAATCAGGGACAGTCTCGTTTATGTCCTGTGCATCTGAGGAGGAAACGTTTCCTGCACACTCATCCTGGTCACACTTAATTTGTCTTGTTATTTAAAGCCAGGATACAAGGTCCCAGTGACCCACAAAGAAATACAGAGATGGGACTGATTATACAGAATATGTTTGAATGTTTTCCAAGTTGAATTTTATCCTAGAATATTATAGGCCAGATTTGATTAAATCACCTTCTACCAGGTAGTACAAGCTCATCTTGACAGAGTTTGAAGTCTCAAAATCTGACTGTTCCCTAGCAACCCAGACTTGTATTTGGAAATAACTCGATTGTCAGATACGTCCGTATGAACACACACAGTCTTCGGGCAGGGGTCAACATTTTTGGTAACAGAAGCTTTGGCTGGATGTCTGATGATGGTTTAGCTTCTCATGATCTCATGATTCACCATGATCGTGGAAGTCCTGGACGCCTCTGTGACTACAAGCAGCAACTGTGTGTTCCCTGACTGGTTAGCAGGTTGATGGAGCTCGCTGGCTGTTGCTCCACGAAGGGTTCAACGTTCAAGTTTAGAGACGGCAGCTTTGCTTCGTCCTGCATCTTGGAACTACAAACCCCCATCCTGAGGGAAGAAGCTCATGGAACCATGACTTAGAATTGATAAAGCCATCCGTCGTACCTGTTTAGAGCACAGGCCAAACAGGACTGGACCACCTCACTGTCTGCTTCTGTGAGGTTTTCTCTGTGACAGAGGTCTGACTGAACCATACCACCAAACAAAAAGATAAAACAAAGTTAAAATTGTTCAGTCAATGTGGAAATGAACAGGTTTCCAGTGACCCTTTTTGCAGACCGATTTGCAATTCTCATCAAAATTCAGTTTCTCGTTGATTATGGTCCCAAGATATTTACATGATTGCACTTACTCTGTTTTTTGACCTTTAATTAAAGTGACTCCGTGCCTATAATCATTCACAAAGAGGTTCACAATGCTGCACCGAAAACCTCAGAGGGATTGGTTTGGTTGCAAGCAGCTCATTGTGGGCTGGAAAATGCTCATTTGCTAATTTGTCTGCAAACACAAAGCAGTGGTGAAAATGTGAAAAATGTGCCAGAAACCAGAAAAACCAGAAAGTTTTTGAAGGCTGCAACACTAAAACACAATGTTTAAGGTTTACATTAATGTTCTCGCTTCCTGTTTTAGGAGCTAGCTGTCTGAGGCTAGCTTGTTTGCTTGCTAATCTCGCTTGCTAATCACCTGTGGGTAAGAACTGGGGGGTCCAGATTTTGCCTTGACGAACTGCTTCACTGTTTGCTGTTTCTGATTTTGCCGGCTGTCCATCCATGGACGGGAACAATGACAGGAGCAGATGAGGCCTTGAGGCGCTCGGGTGTGAGCGTAAACATCTTGCAGAGTCTCCACACAGAAGTCAGTCAGCAGGCTGTTAGAGAGACCTGAGGGAGCCGGGGGACGCCTCCGTTTTAATTATGTTGCAGTGCAGTCAGACATTGGCTGAGAAAAAAATGACCAAATGTTCATTTAACGACTTTCAGAAGCGCACAAACAGACTTTGGTTGAGCTTCTGGCTCTAAACTGTCCATCGTTGGAAACTATTGTTTGGCATGTAAATTATAATTAGACTGAACGTCCTCGCTGTTGGTCGGAGACATAATCCAGCCTGACTTTGTCCTGCAGCTGTCTTTGTTTCAGCCTCTTCTCTGTCTTTGTGCTTGTTGCGTGTGCAGGAGGTGGGCTGCGATCGGCAGCTGGCCAGCGGTGCCAGGGAGGATAACTGCGGCGTCTGCGGTGGCGACGGCTCCACGTGCCGCCTGGTGCGAGGACAGGCCCTACCCCACCTGACCCCCGAACAGTGTAGGTATCAGACGTCCCTGAAAAAGAAATTCCACGTCTCCTGTCGTGTTTCATGCTCTGCAAGCTAATCGTCAGCGCTTTAGTACCAAAATACTCTTTGCACATCTTTCTGAGTGTTATTAAGTCTGTCACCTTCCTGCCTCCTGCAAATGGCTCAGTCTGAGCTTTCATTTTAGAGAATAAACCATCAGCTCAGGCCTAATGTCTCCCTGCTGGTTCCAGAAATGTAGACAAAACGTGGTCTGTATCTGTGCCTGGGCTGCCTCCCAGTCAGGCTCGGTGGGAAATGCATTGTGGGTATCACCTGGCTTGACTTGACTGGTCAGTTGAGCCGTCCTGGCTTTGGCCTCCTCTTCGCCTGCAGCCTCTATTTATTCATCAGGGCTGGACTATTAAAATGCCATCTGGCTTCAGCAGCCTACACTCTACCCAGCATGTTTTTATAAAATCAGCTTCAAATCTGAAAGAGCAACAACAAAGAAAAACCAACGGCACATAACAGGAAGAGTCCAGCATTAAATGTGCGTCTGGAAATGAGTTTTAATCAGTCTCATCTTAAAACAACAGAATGGTAAATGGCCTGTATTTATATAGCGCTTTACACATCCAGTCATCCACCCATTCACACACTGGTGATGGCAGCTACATTGTAGCCACAGCCTCCCTGGGGCGCACTGACAGAGGCGAGGCTGCCGGACACTGGCACCACCGGGCCCTCTGACCACCACCAGTAGGCAACGGGTGAAGTGTCTTGCCCAAGGACACAACGACGAGACTGTCCAAGCCGGGGCTCGAACCGGCAACCTTCCGATTACAAGGCGAACTCCCAACTCTTGAGCCACGATCGCATCGATCGTTGAGTCTGTCAGGAGAGATTAGCTGGAAAATGACTGACGAGCACATCTGTATTCATTGCCGGCTGTGGATTTCGGGAATATTGCTAAACAAACAAACCAGCTGGCTTACCAATAAATACATAAATACGTAATGTTCACCTCTCAGCAGTTTGCTTTGAGAGAAACGTGACGCTGGAGCAAAGCTGAACAGAGATGTCTGCCAGGTAGTGCTCGCTCCTGACTGAGCGGAGCTGCCAGCAGAACAAATAACAACTTTACAACACTGTAAATGTGAAAACGCACTTCAAATGTTTCCAGGGCTTCTCAGCTTTTTCCCCAGGTTTTAACAGCTTAATGAAGTCGCTGCTGGCAGCAAACACACATGCCAGAGTTATTGGCCCTGGGTCGTGTATGTATATCAAATGTTTCAAATGAAGTAGCGCTGGCGTGCCCCGCAGAGTGGAAATGAATATGGCTGGTATTAAAACTCACAGCCAGTGACCGTGTAAATATTTCTGTGGCTTTTAACGTGTGGAATGTATTTAGAAAAGGCCGGGGTGTGTCCGCGCTGCTGAGGTGGAATTTTATACAGACGTAAGAGTTCTGTGGAGTGAATGAGTTTGTTTGAGAAATGCAAAACATAGAGACGAGGCTCATCGTGACCCGATTAGGGAGTCTGGACGTTTAGGAACATGTTTGAAATCTCCTTAGACGTGAACGTCATTACCTGTGTTTGGGCATCAAGACCTTGGGGTGTGTCTTTGTAGGAAACCACAAAGACACAAAAATAAGTTGAATAAAACTTCAAACATGTACGTGAATCTAAATGTAATTACTTTAATTTCATCTTTATAATAACCAATCACAGCTGCTTATTGTTGGTCAAAGCGAGTGAAGCTGTTGCCACTTCTGATCATTTTAAAACATTTGTTCTTATTTTTGGAACAAAGGATGAAAAATGTAGCCGCAGGTCTGCTGTCTCTGTTTCTGCACAGCTGCACGAAGCGTCCACGCGGCCTTTCTGCTTTCCCTTATTACAGCCGCGAGGCCTCAAGGTGTGTGTGTGTGTGTGTGTGTGTGTGTGTGTGTGTGTGTGT